CAAAGGTGAATCAAATAGACCAATACTGCAAGGCTGGGATGGTCCATTTGGTAAAGTAAATCCGTTGGGCATCTTTCTTTGCCTTTAATTCTGATGGCAAAAGAACCAAACGGGATAGGTGAAAAAGAAAAAAGTTTGTGTTTAGGAGTTTTGTCTTTGGGCTTTGGGATGAACCGGTTTTTGTCTGAGTGTGTGGCTGGGTCTGAAGTACACTGGGATGTCGTGCTTAGAGAAGACTCTCCTGAGTTTTTCTGATAAACCGACTACATAGGGGATGACAATGTTGTTAAATCTACCAGTTAACGCTTGCTTGTTAGTTAGCTTAATGCTTATTCTTATCTTTGGCTTATTCTTAATTACTTTTAATCATTTTAATTATTTTTTTGACTGTTTTATCCTTACACTTAGTTTTCTTTTATGCTTTTATATGCAATTCTTTTGCTTTTGTGTTTTAATGCCATTCAACCTGCTAGCATGTTTTGGTACCTTGCCATAGACCTCATCCTTCCCTGTTACTTCATCCTACTCTCTTAAGCACTTTGGTACACCACTGGTTTTTAAATGTGCTATATAAATAAAGTTTTGTTGTTGTTGTTGTGTTTGTCTTTCGGATCCTTCCTAGTTGGGAGGATAGGGCTTAAAATCTGGGACTCTCCACCAGTTGCTCTTAGAACTGAAGAAGCTTCTCCAAACACTTTTCTTTCCAAGCTCCTTAGACCACACCAGACTACCTTCTACCATTGCTCCGTTGTCCAGTTCTGATGCTCACATGCACATTGGTGGTGGTTTTGGTGGGAGATGCAGGTCAGCATGGGCACCCTGGGAGGTCTGCAGTTATGCAGCCCCATTTGCAAACTGGAATGCACTGTGTATTCCCACACATATCAATTGAGCTATCAGTAATTTTTAAACCAGCATCAACTTTTTGGCAATTTGAGCAACATTAGCTTGTCACAGTTACTCCCTGTGTGCATCAGTGAGACTTGGCCAGTGATGACCCTGTCACTGGCTCACCACTCTTTCTTCCTTGGACCATTTTAATAGATACTGACCACTGCAGACCAGGAAACTCCCACAAGAACTGCAGTTTTGGAGATGCTCTAACCCATCTAGTCACATCCCAATTTGGCCCATTTTTCCTGCTTCTAACACATCAACGTTGGGACCTACATGTTCACTTGTTCACTGATATAGCCCACTCACTAACAGTTGCTATCATGAAGAAATGTCAGTGTTATTCACTTCACCTGTCAGTGCTCATGTTATACCTGATCAGTGAATTGCACTGGAGCAGCCCTTGAATTTATATAAGAGTTCATAATTGAACCACTTATTTTACTTGTAAATAAAACCACTAATTGCTCAGCTGTACCGGTGATGTGAATGGTTAAATAAACCATAAAGCCATAAATAAAGTCAAACACCACAGTCTGTTTTTTTAAACCGAAGTTGTATTCAACACATTTGTAAATATCATGTTTACAGAACATTCGGATTGTGTACAAGACTTAACTCTTCCACCAAAGAATGCAGTAATACCAGCAGAGAGCCCAAGTGGGGGGGGGTTGTCCCACTCCCGCTGCAATGAAGATGACAGATCAGTTTTAAAGGTGGTGTAAGTTGGCGGTGAGCGTTATTGTTTCAGGACAGCGGACTCGAGCTCAATAATGTCTCAGAAGGGCTGTTTGAACGGAACATCAATTATTCATCCTCTCATATGTACAGTCTCTTTGACAGCTGCTTCACACGCTCCCGTCAAATCTGCTGTATCAGTGGAATCTGTCTCCTCATCGTCCTTCTCCGTCAGCAGAGGACGGCGCTTGCACCAGACACAGACATCCGTTTTTCGATTCAGGGACCGAACTCACGGGGACCGGAGTAAATGGCGTTTTGTCAAAATAATTTACGGAAGACTATTTGTGAATCACACTTAAAGTGAAAGGTTTTTCTAATTCTCAGCCAACAAAGTTCACTAATACACAGAAGCATTCCGAGAAGGGTATGAAAACAAATCTGCAATTGTGGATATTTAACACATTTACTATAAAAAATACGTCATTTATCAAATCTCAGTAGAATTGTGTTGGAAAGTAAAACCTTTCACATATGATGATGGAAGGTAGTGCAATATAAGAGATCATATGGTAAACTTCAATGAACAATTCATTCCCATTAAATGCAAACTTGACCTTAAAGGGGACCTTTTTGCTTTTCCTTCTTTCTATCACACGAACATATTTTATGTTATTCACTATGTCAAGGAAGGAAATCATTTTCATGAACTAAGCAGGATACGGTAAGTAGGCATTATTTTGAACTGTGAATCGTACGACGTTGCTCATTTAAGAGTTCAAGAATAAAAATACGGAGTGAGAATGAGCAGAATGGGTCCCCTTTAAGAGCATTTTGTCCGAGGCCAGCAGCTTAGCTGAACCTACAAAACCATTTACTAGAAGGTGATTTGCAGCACACGCTAGTTCCCAATTGGAAGCTTGGTTGAAGCTACAAGGAATTTGGAAAAGTAACCGATTAAACTATTCGTTTTACTTTTCTGGATTAGATGACACAGCTATTTTCCACAAACGTTTTATATCATCGCGGCAAAGTGCTCTTCCCAAAATTGGCACTCCAGCGATGCACTGTATGATATATTAAGTGGAAACATTTACATCTAAGTTCTAGGGTAATAAAACTATTAGTGATTTAATAAATTTGTTGAATTTAAAATAAATAATTGACTTAATGCTAATGGAGTTTTTTTAAATAAAAGAAATCCTTAATGACTCAGTATTTCAATCTAGCAAGCTCTTTTTTTCCTTTTGGTTGTTCACAATAAAATATACAAAGTTTTTTCAAAAGTTTCTCCTAATAAGATCTAAATTTGAAACATGTATTTTCATCTTTTTCAAGTTCAGCCCTCATTGGTCGGTGGATATCGAGGCATCATCTACTGGTAAACAATTTTTCTTCTTCTGTAGTTTAAGCAACAGTTCTGTGCTCCTCCTTCTTAAGCACACATTTAAGTGTGAAACTTCCGTCACAGTGGTTTAAAAACATGTCTCTCTGTAAACCCCGAAAGCTGTCGGCAAACTCTCCTCCTCCTCTCATCTGAAGGCGAGGCTTTAAAAGAAAATTTACCAAAAAAAAAAAAAAAGTACAGTGTACAGTTTTTCTCTCCACTCAGACGAAATCAGCTGCGTATTGCAGAAACATCATGAAAAGCAGGGAATGTCCAGAACAGCTGCAGGTCGCCCAAAGTGCCTCGGGTTATAGCAGCAGCAGGAGCAGCAGCAGAAATGCAGGCAGGTCAGAAACGCCCGTCCTTAGATCAGGACAGGGTGAAAACTTTTTTTTTTGTTTGTTTTTCAACTTTTCTTTCAGCTTTTCCAGAAGCTTCGACGACCAGAAGGAACCCTGCCGCCCTCTCCTGCGGTTTGGAGGTTGAACACTAGGTGGTGACACCTCCTCGTGATCAGCTGGAGCTGCTGGAGCTACCGCCCTGCTGCGCCTTTGATGCTGAAACAGAAAAAACAAAGACATTCAGAAATGTAATTCTGTCTCAAGATATAATTTGAAAGCATTTGCTGTGGAAATAAACTGCGCTTTGTCCGGGGTTCGTTTGTACCTGTGAGGTCTCTGAAGCGTCTCTTGGCCTCGGCTCGCTCCTCAGAGTCGAAATACCAAACTGTGATGGCGTACCTGAAACACAAACGGCAAGAACAGTGTCTTCAGTGGTTGCCATTGCTGTCTGTAACGACCAGTGTGTGTTAATAAGGGTTACGTTTTTGCTAATTAATTTGCCATGTTTTAAGGAAAATTACAACACATCTAACAAATGCCAACAAAGGCAGATGGTCCAAGTCATCATGTCTGTAGTAGTTACAGGAGAAGCTGCCTCATGAATTGGGGTACTGATGGGTTGGTTGGCGGGTTACCTGGTGGTATAGGAAGGCTGCACTTCATGTGGGTTCCTGCGGTCTGACCAAAAGAAGAGCAGCCTATCAAAAAGTGGCTTGATGTCTGCCACGTACGACTTCCCTTCTGGAAAGATCCTGAGGATGCCGCCATGCTCCTGATAAACAACAGCAGGAAAGACAATTTAGTGAAAGTTCTTTTTCTCTCATTTCTATTCACTCCTGTCCCCAGACAGAAACCAATAATGTGCAAATATTCACATCTTAATTCTAATCAGTCGCGATCACTTCCTCTGATTTTATCAAGTCAAAGGAAGCAAAAAACATTTCATACTGATATCATCAGAGATCAAAGTCAGAAACTTCACTATTCACTCAGCTCACAATCAGACTTGAAATCATAAAAAAGATTCGAGATGGTGATCAAACACGAAAAACTGAAAAGAGGGTTCGATAAATGAATAAATGAACAAAGTGTAATAAGCACCTTGGCATTCCAGTTCTTGTTGAGGTAGTAGATGCAGGTGATGCAGCGTCCATCACAGTTGGGATTGTCCACGTGCTTGACATAACCCGCCCCATTTCCTGGGTAACACGCCACCATAGCCTAAACAGACACGCACAAGCAGAAATAATTAGAGCACTCCATGTGTCACTACTACCACAAAACCCTGCTGCTTTAAATGCACTTCACCACGAGCTCGGACATCATAGAAAGTGCTAACATTAACTGCTATTTTTTTCCTCATGTGTCTCATATTTGACTACATTACACAGATAAATAAAGTTTTTGCTTCACAGATTTATTTACGAAACATAATGGAAAACAGCACATATAAACAGAATTGATTAGTTATTACTTGGTTACTTTTTATTTTTGTTACCACTGATATTGTAATTATTCATAATTGTGGTTCTCATCAGTAGAATTTAACTGAGGCTTTGTAAACTTGTGAGCTGTCACAACTGCTGCTCACGTTTTTCCAAAGTTTTACAAATCAAACCATCAACACATGAATCAAGAGAGAAAAGAAAAGAAGTGAAGTTCTGAAACTGGAGTATAATGGAAGGAACTGATGAATAGTAAAAATACTAAAATATCAGGAATAAAATTGTAGTGTTAACAGAGATAACAGGAAATAAAAATGTACTAGACTGTTCTTTTAGTTTAGCACAATCTGATGTAATAAGATGATCATTTCCTATGGCTTGTTTTGGAAATATAATAACATAATATAAAAACAAGTAATGCTGAACGAGTACAGTGGCTGATATAATCTTCGAAATAAAAGCTGGCGCGTTGAAAATCAGTTATGCTGACACAATTACACATACTTCCTCTATGTGTGTGCGCACCAATGTAGGTGTGTGTGTGGTGGTTATTTACTAATATTTCTCGTGTCCAGATGTGCTTGTTGTGGTTGCATGCCTACACACCGAGTCGCACGTACACGTGTATGTGTACATATGTGTGTGTGTGCGTACGTGCTGCCAGTCAGTATTGGGAGGAAATTGGAACAGCCGCGCTTGTGGTTACAGTATTGATAAGAGGCCATAATAGTTTGCAAAGACCGACAGATTTCCCAACACAACCAGGAATCCTGACGTCACTGAGATTTTGGCCCCATCATCTATTTGTTCCACTATTTTTTGAAAATGAGCCATTTCTTTTTACATGTTTAAAATGAAAGAAATACTAAAACTAGAATACCAGTTCTTACAAACCAGTGCTTTGACTACAGAGTCCTCATAATTAATTGCTTCCTCGAAGCAATAAATAAAAATAAAATAATAAAAATACAATAAATATTCACAGAAAACGAGTTCATTTCAGTTAAAATGGAAACCTTTTCCAAACAGGACATGGGAGGTGGGAGCTAGGGGGGGGGGGGGGGGGGGTTCCCTGCATCCCCTCCCTGCAGCGCTGCGACCTCATAACCCCAGCAGGAAGTGTCTGATAAGCTCAGAGTAAGAGACGAGACTGTGAGACGTGAGACTGTGTCTCAGAGTCCACAGAAAACAAAGCACAAACTGTGATCCTTGCCGATGAAACAAAACCCAGTGGTCACAAACAGCTGATTCTGTGCTACTCAGGTTAGATCTGCTCAGACTGCCCACTGCAGCTAAACACCTACATCTAGCATTTCACAGACTGATATTATTATTTACTTGGGCTTGCAGTAAAACACACCTGCCCCTTTAATTTTTTCCAAAACAGAAAAAAATATTAAAAGACAATTTATTAAAGTTTTGTGCAAGTTTCCATGTTTCATCATTTGGCACTGAAAAATCAATCATTTTTTCCAGAATGTGGACCCTACTTTACAAATGAAAGAAAAAAAGAAAAGGAAAATGACGTTAGAGAAGATTGATGCTTGTTAAAAACACGTTCCTTAAACGCGCCAAAACAAACATCAGCAGCACTGATTTATGTCAAAGCGTGTTATCTTTACCATCTCTCTGACGTCAACGTCGTCACCTCACCCCGATGATTACACACAGACTGCACGCAAGCCCCTCGACCAATGCCTGTAGCTCAATGTACGCACATGTCCAAGACATGAGCGTGATTTGCATTTATTCGCGGAACCTCGATAGCAGAAAATTATAGAGGCAAAGTCACGGCAGCAGTCACGCTGTCAACGTGCTTGCCCCTTTTCTCTGATGGGATTTCATTGTGAACCCCCCTTATTGTCAAACACATGCGTGCAAAGGCCTTCTACACCTTTGCACGCTCCATAGAATCTCATGGAAGCGAACATCCTGTTCACTTCCTTTCCTTTATGATTATCAACACACATGCCAGTTTATACAGGAAGGTCACAGTGCAGATTAACCCCAGATCCAATAGACCATTCCCTCGATACATCAACGACAACAGCAGCACACCTTTAGTAACCTTACCGACATCAACATGTACCACCTGATGTCTGTGTTTATACACCCGTCGCATGCAACCATGTAGACGCCACATCCCTTCCCTTTTGGGCGCTCTCGCTGTGAAACGCCCCTCTCTATTGCTTTTCATGAGAAGGGGATCGGGATGGTGGGTGGGTGCAGAAGTCAAGCCCCCGTCAGTGTGTGCGAGGGACTCCAAACGTGCACGTAGTTTCAGGCCTCCCTGGCTGCCAGTGATGACAAACCCCTAGCACTGATAACGAGCGGCTGACCTGCTCCACAGGCTCGCTCTGAGGGGAAGTGGAGAAATCACGCAAGTTTGTTTACACGCCGCCACTAGGGCACGTACACACACACATACAGGCTTCATCATCATTACCGTCATCGTACAAGTGAGTTCCTGTAGAATGAGAAAAAAAAAAAAAGCGCAGTGACACAGGAGGGGGGCTGAGCGGAGATGAAATGATACACTGTGAGAGGAAAAGGGCTGAAAACAAAACGCCTTAGAACTGTTTTTCAATTCAACTTTATCTTATCTCTCTAGCAGAGGGAGATGCAGAGAGGGGGGAGGAGAGGGGCACGGGGAGATGTTGTGCAGGTGTGGTGATGTCTGTGCGGTTGTTTGGCAGGTTTCCAGCCAGCTGATGGTTTAATGACAAAGCTACGTGTGGCGCGTGAGGCTACAGCGCGTCTGCAGCGCCACAGACATCCAGCAGCAGTGATTCTGCAACTTTTAGCAAACCCAGTCCAAGAGGTTTTAAGACCTTTTTAATGCCTCACAGATACTGGAGCTAGACTGTTTGGCTTCAACCACCTAACAGACTGGTGTCAAGCAATGCTTGGAGTTGGGTTTGTCTACTACTTTGGGTGCAATCTTTGATTTTTAATTATGTCCAGCTGCTTGTATCATAATCAGAATTGTATTTCAAACTATTATTAAAGGTGTTTTGTGTCCTCCACACAAAAGACAAATCCTGCTGTTTATTCTCCTGCATCATCTCCACGTGTGTGTGTGTGTGTGTGTGTGTGTGTGTGTGTGTGTGTGTGTGTGTGTGTGTGTTGTAACCAGGCTGACCCATTTTCACAAGAAGTTCTATCTGATAACACGTACACACACAAACATGTGATAAGAGCTTACTGTACACTGCAGCACGTGTGTGTGTGTGTGTGTGTGTGTGTGTGTGTGTGTGTGTGTGTGTGTGTGTGTGTGTGTGTGTGTGTGTGTGTGTGTGTGTGTAATGAGGATACTGTATGTGAGTGAGTGAGCTTTAGTGTGTGCTGAGGAGGAGTGAAGGAAGAATTGAATGTGTACGTGAGAATGTCCACTGCTACACGCGCATACCTTCACGCCCACTCACACGAATGGGCGTGTATCTGTTCTGCTGTGTCTGACTTTCCGAGGAACAATGTCTTTATAGGGACATTTTTGAAAATTTAAGACAGTTTGGTCGCTCCTTGCTTTGGGATTTAAAACTTTAACAAGAACTTTTTGAGAGTTAGGCTTAGTTTTAAAGTTAAGGTCGGGGTCATTCGAGCCCAAGTGATGCTGATCTCAGAGAAAAGGACACAGACACAGTCTGGCATCCATCAAACACTGACTTGATGATGTTATTTCAATAAATTAGCTGACTAGTTGTTGCAGGCTTTTGATATCATTTATCTAACATATTTTTCCATCTGTGTAAAATAGAATATCTGTAAGTGACTGACTAGATCTCCCCCTTTCTGTTGAGTTTCAGTTTTTCTGCTCTCCTATAACCAAAATGTAAAGTCTCAAATCTCTTAGATATATTCAATTAGATTTTTAGAAATGTCAAACAACAACAACAACAAAACAAAATGTGAATTTTTGCAAATCAGATCCAAATGACATTGAGGTATTTTAATAAAATGCAGTCTCAGTCTTGGAGTTCCTCTAAGTGCCACTTGGGGCTGGTACTAAAAAGGAGTCAATGCCCATAGACTCCCATGTTGAGCATTAAAAGCATATCCTAGTACAAAAATTGATTTTGGCCTCAATGGCTGGTTTCCACTTTCATAAAACTCTGAGTAGGGGAATATGTTTATGACACATCCACCTGGATTTTTATATTAGGAAGATGCCCACACTGATTGGGACACCATACAGGTGGTCATGGGGTTTGCTAGGCTTGCTGTGACTATAGACGTGAAATTATGTTACGAGATGACAAACCCTTCAAATTTTTCTTAAAATGCAGCTCATAAATGTCTTTTTTGCGGGATGAATCAAGGAGATCCCAAGATTCATTGTGGATTGGTGGTTTGGACAGTCCAAGCAAAGTGGTCAAAGAATTCTCTTTTAGATGTAAGCACATTTCACTCGCCGATCGAGCAGTACCGATGTTAAAATTACTGAATTTCAAATTAAGTTACATTTGTGACGCGAGTCGTTACTTATTGTGGCTCAGGTCCAGCAGTCTAAAAGCCTTTAAAACAAAAAGCAGCTTAAATTTTTAATTTAATCTTACACAGACTGTGGCAGTGTTATAGGTAATGAATACTATCGTCTTAATTTGTCTTAGGACTGCAAATGTCTAGAGTGAGGGGAGACTGAGAAACCCACTGATGCAAAACTTCTTTGGTGCTTCAGAGGAGAGGTGATGGGATAGAGGTTTTCCACTGCTGATGACCCTCTGGGACAAATTCATCAATGTGCGAGAAAAGGGAAGAGAAACTGGAGTCTGGAGC